GCCCTGAATAATATGAGCATGCTTAGAATAAAATTGATGGTTGTACCTGCAACGTACTAGTCAAATGTGCCAAAGTTGACGGGGTCAAGGGATTGCTGTGTGAGGCATAGGTACAATTAAAGATGGTAATAAGGTCTATGCTTTCCATTTCACTAGAAACCATTAGGTATCTATCGTCCCATCTGAAGAACATGTTTGCATTGGAAAAAACACTACCGTAATCTCTCCAAGTTCATAATCTCCCTATGCCAGGTTATTAAATTATGGGAAGTTAACATGGCAACTACCCCATATTAATGGAAGCTGAGCAGTAGTTGGTCTCCCATTAGAAGAGCAGAGTTATGCGACTCCACCGAAGGAGCCAACAAATATCCTGGCATGGTATGGAGACTGATGTCACAATTGCTTCTTGCTTGGTTATTAAAGCAAAACCTAGCTTTCTCCTTATTTCAATTACATTTATGTTTATACATCTCTATTGCTTCTCTGATAATTTTGGGAAAGTATCTGTTACCCCATGCCAGGTTCTCCAGGTCTATTTTGTTTCTTGTGAGGGGTACGTAATTAATATTAACTTGTCCTTTAAATCTAATGTTCTTACAGTACAGGAGAATGAAATCACTAAGTATATCTAGAAAGATTTTTGACAGAATTCTAATTGGGAGGTTATGAAAAGTGACTATGAAGCAAAATCTGGAAACACATTGTAGTTTAATGCAAGCTGAGTGTGTAAAAATAGATTTTTGCTTTTCACATAAACAAAAAAAAACTAGAAACAAAGGGATGTGAGGTGAAAATCTTATTTTATATTATTTAGAGAAATCCTTTAACAAATACAATTGGATAGACTTGAATAGGTTATGGATACACTTGAACTATGGAACATTATACATGAAGATGAAATTGCTTGAATGCTTGATGGTTTATTGTATTTATGGATAAATAAATGCTTATGGTGATGTTAAATGTATGATTGTTGGGGTCATAAATGTCTACGAAGGCAGATCGTGCTGTGCTGTTGGCTGAGAATGCATAATAACTTACAGTGAATGTTAGACACATTGTATTATGTGGAGAAGGATGAATCTGAAAATTAATGTACAGAAAATCAAAGTAGCTATGTTTGACAAGAAAATGAAGTGAACAACCATACATTTGTTGGCCAAAAAAAAGACAAAATGTATGATTAGATGAATTTGTGTACCTTGGCACAGTGTTCATAAAATGGGGAAACTGATGGAAATTTTTTCAGTTGTGAAAATGACAATAGATAGATTGATTGATCAATTGTGTGTGTGTGTGTGTGTGTGTGTTTTACATTAGTAAGGCCTCCAAACTCCTCAATTATTCCATGCAAAACACAGAATTAAAACCAGAAATACAGTACAAAACATCAAAGAGAACAGAAGGGGAACATTGCCACTCCAGAGGAAGAAACACCCATTGAAAACCTGGAAGCATCTCTCAAAGCCTGTGGAAAGAGGCCAGATCTTCAAGGCACACTTGAAGGATGGCAAGATCACTGCTTTTCAAATCTCTGGAAATGGAGGTGAGAGTATGCTGTTCCATGGAAAACGTGGCATGACAGACAATGTTTATTCCCTAGATCCCATCAGATGACCTTGCTTAATGGGTGGGATCCTGAGCAGGTTCACTTTGTCAAATCTTACATGAAACAGCAGAACAGAGTTGGTCTTTTAAATAACTATGCCTGTTCCATATAGGTTTTGTAGACAACAACTAGCATCTTGAACTGCACCTAGAAACCTACCGGAACACTATAGCTCATGTAACAGAAGTCCCAGGACTGCTCATGTTGCTGCATTCTGGGGCAGGTGAAATTTCGGAATGGTCTTCATGGCAGTCCCATGCAAATGCTCTGCAATACTCCACATATAAGGCAGCGGGAATGTGAGAAGAACTTTCTAGCTCAGGAATAGACACAACTGGCACATGAGATGAGTCTGGGCAAAGATCTTCCTTGACACAGTCGCCATCTGTCCTTTGATACCAATTCTTTTTGTGGAAGTCCATCTCCATTTAGATCTAAGGATGGAGAATCCCCAGTCCCGGTTAGCCCACATCCCAACCCCACTTGACCTTCTTAGGTTGAGAAGTTTGTTCTTCTCCATCTAGACCCCAACAGTTTGGGACAAGTCCTTGACAGCATCACTTCTTCAACTAGAGGTCGAGATACATAGCTGAATGTCATTAACACACTAATATGACTTGACCTACTTCTGATGATTACCTCATCCAGGAGAAGGAAGGGCGGGGAGGGGAAGGGAAAGGAAGGGGCTTAGGATCTTCTTGCATTACTGCTTATTAAGCTTGTTAAGCTTATTAATACCTTCTCTATTGCTCATTCAGCAAATGTTAAAGAATATTGTGTGTTAACCACTGGGTTTATAATGTGTTTGAGTGGCAATAACAACCACACCACACATATTTGGAATTGAAAGACAAGTCAGTATACAGATGTTTTATCACGTATTTAGTCTAACCATTTCCATTTCATTCTGAGCACATCCTAAGAGAAGTAGGAGGTTAGTGCCAGGGTGGGGTGGTAGTGTCAGAAGACTATATGGGCATTTTGTATAGAAATATCAGCTTCAAATCAAAAGCTCTGAGATGATCCACCACCGCACAACTATATAAAGAAGGTAATTTGAGGTTCATCCCTTGAGGAAACTGTTAAAGTGGCATTATCATACCATCAAATAGTAACATGCCTCTCAGTAGCTTGTCGAAACCACATCCATTTTTAAAACCAATAATGAAAATACCCTGGAGAGACTAATGTCTCACAGGGGAAAGAAACAATGCCAGGAGAACAAGTTGGGAAATCTATCATATCCCATATAAGTGAGCCAGATGTCATGCCATCCGTACAGATGTTTGTGCTACCTGATATGCATATCTAGTTCACATAGGATTAATTTGTGATACTTCAGCTTTCTATATCATGTAGTCTTCCTCCAGCTTGCACATTTTCTCAGACAACCGTCTAACAACCTAGCCCCCATTTTATCAACTTTTTGATTCACCAACCACTTTTCAATAGTGAATTCCTAGAGTCCTTTCCCATTGCAACATGTTTGCTCTCCAGTCCTTCCAAACAAAGCATGAAACTGACTTCATGGCCACTGGCCTAAAAATGTAGGGAATATGCTGAGATCAATATAGGCAAATTAGTCCTTCATCCAGTTGACAGGATTAAAATAATAATAATTCAGTGCCTACTCTGAGCTTCCCAAGGTCTTTGAGAAAAAACATCTTTTTACTCTGCAAGAAAAGATAGACATTATAATTACCTACATGATTTTGCTACAATGACAACCAATATGTAGAGAAGGGAGGGAGGGGGGGGAGGGAAGAAGGAAGGAAGGAAAAGAAGGCAGGCAGGAAGGAAGGCGGAAGGGAAGGAAGGAAGGAAGGAAGGAAGGAAGGAAGGAAGGAAGGAAGGAAGGAAGGAAGGAAGGAAGGAAGGAAGGAAGGAAGCCAGAAAGGCAGAAGGGAGGAAGGGAGGAAGGAAGGAGGGAAGGAAGGAGGGAGGGAGGGAGGGAGGGAGGAAGGAAGGAAGGAATCCACCATTACAACATATACATGTTTCTGAAGGTATAATGGGCTTTTTTAGATTTTTTTAATCAATTTTTTAAAAAGTTTTTAATCTAATTTTATCTTTAAATTATTATGTAGTTGTGACTCTCTTGCTCGGCTTCCTCATTTGATATATCCAAACTGCATTCCAAGCTCCAGAGCCACTGCTTTTAGACTCCACAGATATCCCAGTTGTACTTGGTGTACGGAATGTGCTTCAACAAGTGTTTCATGTTTTTCGTATGCTTCTTTCATGGGTGCAGCATAGCCAGCAGATACTGAAGAGTGTACATTGCCATTGCGTAAAAGCAGAACAGTTCTATTAAAGGTACATGACAGGTTAAATTACATGATTAGCAGCCTGCCCCAAAATCTATAATATATACCCCCAAAATGTCCAAGAAGCAATATTTTTGTTGTCCAGTGTAATATTGAACCCTGCCTATGAGTTAGGTTCTATTTCACCAACTTCCTCCAAGTTGTGAAGTATCATTTCCTTCTCAAGTATCTCTTGTATAATGTGGCCACCTCAAAAGAGAAGTATTCTCTCTCTTTATAGCATGGTTTTCAGGAAGTGCAACATCAGGTTTACTTCTGTGTGTGTTCTTGTAAAGTTATTTAAACCAAGCAGTGATAATGCTGAAGTGAAATCATTGGGGTGGGAGGGATGGAGAAAATTTTTTTCTCAGGCAGTTCTCCTGAACTCAGATTCACTCCTCAAGTTCTAATTTAGCACTTCTCCATTTGTTTCAGTTTTGGAGACTGCCGTAGTTAATTGTGTGCAGTTTGTGTTTCTTTGCTTAATGTTCTCATAGGAAAGATATACTGGACAGAAGCGTTTAACCTGGGAAACAATTATCTGACGAGATTAATCAGAAGGCCTCATTTAATCTGAATTCTCACCCCTGTGCAATTGCAAATAAAGTGATTTAACATGCTGATAGCTGCTGACCAGAGGAGATCAACAACTTTTTCTGTTTTCAAAAAATCAACCCCCTGTTGTTTGTAGCTTTTCTCCTCCCCTAGTTGTGCTTCATTTGCCACTTGCTGTTTTCTAGGGACAACTTAGAATGTTTTCTGCATTGGAGAAATGATTTGTATTATTACCCTCATTTAAATTAAAGGCTCAGGGCTAGGAACAAGGCTTAAGAACTAGCAGTTCATTCAGCACTGAATGATTCACAATAAAGAGATGTCCATATACCCCCCCCCCTCATTAAATCCTAAAATAAGTCCTTAAACTCTCAGAGTTGCTTCTATATGGGATGGGCAGCATACAAGTCTAATAAACAAACAAACATTCAGGCTTGAGTTCGGATTACATTTTTTATAAGCCATAGTGGCGCAGTGGTTAGAATGCAATATTGCAGGCTAATTGACTGCTCACTGCCAGGAGTTTGATTCTGACAGGTTCAAGGTTGATTCAGCCTTCCATCCTTCTGTGGTTGGTAAAATGAGGACTCAGATTGTTGGGGGGCAATAGGCTGACTCCGTAAACTGCTTAGAGAGGACTGTAAAGCACTATGAAATGGTGTATATGCCTAAGTGCTATTGCTATGGCTTTTGCTATTAGTGGGAAGCAGCTATTATTTATTTAATCCATCCACAGTAACCCCTACTTCTTTTCTATCAACAAATAGCACAGCAGGGCAATATTGAAAGGAGCATATTATATTGAAAAACACAATTAAAAAGCAAAATTAAACAACTAAGTAGTGTTCCTTCTACGTTTTTCCTTTCAGCATTAGTAGACTAATAGTTTCATCACAACCTCACCACTTGACTCATCTTCTCCACATCTGATTGGAAGTTCTCTGGTTCACTGTCCATCTTCCCCACCCTCTTTTTCATAATCTGCTTGGCAGAGAGTGAGCCTGTTCTGTTTCTATAGTTTGAAAGTGCCACATTACCTTCTTGAATGCTCTGTTTATAAAGAAGTTTTCTTAGGACTTAACATCATCAAACACTGTGGAGCTTCTTTCTAAAGAAAACACTGAGAAGACCCCAAGACACTTTGAACATCTCTAATTTGGACCACATTGCTCCAGATATTCTTCTCTGCTGAGCCAACATGCTTCCTAAGCATTTTATTGACGCTTTTCCCAATAATGGAGTGAGGGTGAATTTCTAAGAGCTAAGCAGATAGTACAGATAATTCTCATGCTGACTGAAAAGGCCCCCCTGTACTCCAATTCTTTAACAATATCAGTTGAAGTTTGCTACTTTAATACAAGCAGAGCTGGAAAGAAAACAGATCCAATATATACATCATCATCATTTAGCAAATGTCAGGGCCCACCCACCTTAGAGCTGTCAAGCACACTGATCCCACCTTCATACCAGGGCTACCTTCAATCAGCCTTCATTAATACTGTCTCTTCTCAGTGATAGCCCCTCTCACAAGCATCTTCCTATGCAACCATACCTAGTAATTGTAGCACATCTCCCAAAGGAATAAAATGTTGTGGTACGGCAAATGTTTGCTAGCATTAAAATGGCTGCCAAAATTTGGGCTTTTATTCTTATTTATTTTTTAGACTTATAGCTTGCTTTTTCTCCAGGAGTATGAGGTACAATACACAACGCTTTGTCCTCCATGTTTCCTTGCAATGATAATCCTGTGAGGTAATGTGAATCCTGTGAGGGAGTGTGACAGGCCCAAAATTATGAACTACACTTCCATGGCTGAGGATGGACATATACATTTGGTACTAATTATCCAATCTAAGTTTTAACAAATGCCCCAGATAAAAGACTAAATTGTACTGAGCATCATACTTTCCTTCAAGTCCATCCTTTTTAGGGCTCCTAGGAGACTTTGTAGGGGGAGCAGAGGCTGAGTGGTTAAAACACTGGGCTTGTTGACCAAAAGGTTTGCAGTTCAAGACTAACTACTCCATGATGGAGTGAGCTCTCATTCTTGCCCCAACTTCTACCCACCTAGAAGTCTGAAAGCATATGAATGCAAGTAGATAATGAGAGTAAAGAAATAGGTACCACTTCAGTGGGAAGGTAATAGCATTCCATGTGCCTCAGTGTATAGTCATGCCAGCCACATGAATATGGAAATATCTTCTGACAAATCCTGGCTCCTTCAGCTAGGTAAAGGAGATGAGCACCACTCCCTAGAGTCAGACACAACTGGCGGAGAAACCTTTATTCTTTTATGAGATTTTGTTGCTTAATGCCTTAGCTGAAACCAATACAGATTCCTAGTCTTAATACTTTCTTTCTTGGAAAATAAGATGGTCTTCATTGACCAGGTGATCATGAACACCAGTTACAGACAAGGAAGAGCAATGAACAGAAACTTGCAGGTCCAATTTGAGTTTTTTGGATAGGGAAGTAGGTCCATCGTACCTGCTGTTGGACCAATCCACTATCTTGCCAGGTGACTCTAATCAAGTTGATTTAAGACCAGAGAAAGATAATTTTCTTAAACATTCAACATCTCTCTTTGAAAGAAATGGATACCCTAATCCAGTGGTGGGATTCAAATTTTTTACTACCAGTTCTGTGGGCGTGGCTTGGTGGGTGTGGCTTGGTGGGCTGGCAGGGGAAGGATACTGCAAAATCTTCATTCCCTCCCCACCCCACAAACCTGCTTTCCAGCTCCGTTCTCCTGTGCAGGGCAACAAAAGAAGACCCAGCTGATCGGGAGGCAGAGAATAGATGAGGGTGGGGACAATCAGAGGTGGTATTTGCTGGTTCTCCGAACGACTCAAAATTTCTGCTACAGGCTCTCCAGAACTGGTCAGAACCTGCTGAATACCACCTCTGCCCCAATCCATTTAAGAAGGAATTTTGAAATCAAAAGAGGTAATAGTGATGGCAAATAAATTAATTCAAAATGAAAAATAGTGGGAAGAGCATAGGTTTTGGAATTGGGAAGTTATGTTATACACAAAATCATGACCCAAGTCAAAGTATTACTATATGTATTTGGACTGAATTGTCCTGAGATCTGTATCAGAGGTGGTATTCAGCAGGTTCTGACCTGTTCTGCAGAACTGGTAGTGAAAATTTTGAGTAGTTTGGAGAACCAGTAAATACCACCTCTGTCTGGAGATTTTACAGGCTCCTTCCCCTGCCACGCCCATCAAGCCATGCTCACAGAACCGGTAGTAAAAATAATTGAATCCCACAACTGATCTATATGATCCTTTCAGACTGTTTGTCAGAGCATGGTTTCTTCTTCTTCTTACCCTCAGCTAAATTCTACTCACGATAAGTTTGACCCCATTAATATTGAAAGGGCACTTTAAATCATCATGCCTTTTTTTTTTAAAGCCCTAGATAAAACAAATCTGGGATATGGATTTTCAAACAAACCTAAGTAAGGGCTGTCACACCCCATGATTTATCAGTTGCTCCCCAAAGCATCCCTTCTCTTCCAGCCATCCATTTATCATCTATTCCCATTTTAAAATTTCATAAGGCCCTCACTTCAGCCAGGTGGGATACTGTGTTCTCAGCAGCCATAACTGTACCATTACTTATGATTGAAACTTCTTACAGTAATATTTTATTTGGATTTATTTTGGTAATCATGTTCTTAATTATTTGTAGATTCCATTATTGTTTTTCTCATATACACATATGTGAAATATAAATTAGGATGTGATACTTGGTGGTGGCTTGTTCTCCAGGCTTGCTGTTTTAGCTTCCAAATGTTTTGTCACCAGGCTAGATGATGTCTAGATAAGTCCTCAATGGGACTTCAGTTGAAGCATTTTGTTTCAGTTCTCTGTTTTTATTGATCTCATGTGATCATGTGGTCGGTGGGCCCTGTGATTGGCTGGTGTGACGTGTCATGTGATTGGCTGGTAATATCAGGTGAAGGTCACCAAGTGAAGATGTGGTTGGTGCTGTTGTTGGTTGGTCGCTCAGTTGAGACGGGATGTCCGCTAGCCTGGTGACAAAACGTTCGGAAGCTAAACAGCAAGCCAGGAGAATAAAATCTATCACCTGATCTACACATGTTTTTGATGTGATACTCCTTTTATTCAGTGTCTTATTTATTTGCGTCTGGCCTCAGGGCTGCAGTAAGTAAATCTGAATTTGCATGATCCAGATATCTGTCAGCCTGAAGAATCTCAGTGACACAGGTTCAAACACTTCCTTCTTGTCACAAGAGGGTCTCACTCCTCTTCCACAATTTGGGGTTGAAGATGGTGACCGCCACATAGGATTTCCATCATCAGGCCCCCTTTCCTTCCTTTTTTTCCCCCTTTTGTGAAGCTGCAGCCTGTTCATTAAAACAATGCTGAAAACTATTTGACTCCCATTCCAGACAGCTATTCACTATGCTAAAATCCCTCACCGGAGGCTGAATAGCCAAGCCTTATCATAAGCAAATCAGCATTCAGGAAACTGTCACATCTATCACCCGTCCAAAGTGCGGCACCCAGGGAGACTCCCCATGCTACCAGAAGCCTCTAGCACACTCCTGAAAAGAACAGCTCCACATTTCAGGAAGTAACACATTACCAAGTGATTTGCCCATTAAGATTTATGCCTGAAATAGAGGAGCCAGAACCCTGGGCATCTGTAGACTTTTCATCAGCTGATTAAGTTTGACAGATGAAGTCAGTCCCTGACCTTTCTGCATCTGAGAAAATGGGAGAGAGGGAGAGGGAGAGGAGGGGAGGGGACGAGACAGAGGGAGAGGGAGGGAGGGAAGGAGAGAGAGAGAGAGAATTGGCCTCTCTTTCGCCTTTCCATTCAATTGTCCACTTCCTCAAAAAAAAAAAAAAAAGGAAAGATGCAGCTTGCAGCTGAATTTGTGGCCGGAATAGTTTCCAGCAATCCATGGAGGTCTCAGTCGAAGGGAGAGATAATAGGGTGATTGATCTGCTCTTCATCCTCAGGGAACTGAAAAAAAAAAAAAAGACTGGCAAATACATAGTAATATGTTCCAAATCTAGATTTGGAATGTATTGATATGTATTTGCCAGTCCCTTTTTTTTTTGAACTGGATGACTACAAGAGAGTCTTTTTAAAACAGCAGTCTAGCTTCAAAAATAAAATGGAAGGAACGCTTAATACTGTTATATGTGTTGCTTTCCAATTGTGAGAATTTCCTTTTAATCAATTTTCTATCCAGACTTCTTAGCACACCCACACTGCTTTAGGGGAGCTAAGAACATGAATCAAAACAACACCATAAAACAGAATATAAAACAAAATACAGGTTTTTTTTAAAAAAAAACACAATACATGCTAGGCAGGATAAAGTTTTGCTCCCCCTTTTTAAGGAAAAAAAGCCATTTTAAATTATCTTCTACTGGCTAGTGGAAGACTGTTAAAAATGAACTCAAAATATTGTTCATATATGCAGGGGAAATTTGTTTGTTTGTCAAATTTTGAAACTGCTTATCTCCCTAGCAGAGGGAACCTGGGTGGTGTTCAAATAAAATATTAAAAGCATTTGTAGGAAGTTGG